GTTGTCAACTGGCCCCACGGGTAAAGGTCAACAGACCTGTTTTGCTTGGCTCTCACGTGTTTGAAAGAAATTGATTTCTTGCTCATTTCCCAGTTCAAATTGCCCTACACGAGGCCGCTTGTTCACATCTAACTAAACCCTATAAGCACTGGAATTTAGTTTAAGGCCCCCATTTTATAGATAAATAAACTGGTTTGGAAGAGAGACATGTATTTGAGATCACAAAGCTGTAAAATGGTAACAGTCACATCTGCTAAGCACTTAAATGGCAGGCCCCATTTCAAATGCTTCACATGTCTTAACTTATTTAATCTTCAAATCCTGGAGAAAAGAAAACGAAGGCTCAGACACTGTAGTCTCAATGACACAGCCCATTTGCGGCAGAGTTAGCCAGTTCCAGCGTGGCTTAACTTTTTTTTTCCTTCTAATGCTATCCCTCCCCAATCTCCCCACCCTCTGCTATTCCCCACCTAGCCCCCCACCCTGCAGACCCCAGTGTGTGATGTTCCCCTCCCTGTGTCCACGTGTTCTCATTGTTCAGCTTCCACTTATCAGTGAGAACATGTGGTGTTTGGTTTTCTGTTCTTTCGTCAGTTTGCTGAGAACGATGGCTTCCAGTTTCATCCATGTCCCTGCAAACGACATGAACTCATCTTTTTTATAGCTGCATAGTATTCCATGGTGTATATGTGCCACATTTTCTTTCTTTCTTTCTTTTTTTTAATTGTTTTTGGGCTCTGGGGTACATGTGCACCTCCTGCATCCTGCAGGATTGTTGCATAGGTACATATATGCCATGGTGGTTTGCTGTCTCCATCCCTGTGCTGCCCCCCGCTACCCTCCATTGCCTGCATCAGGCATTTCCGGTGCTATCCCTCCCCATCCTCCCCGCCCCCCTTCACTGTCTTTCCCCTCCCCTCCCCTCCCCTCCACCCTCCACCTCGCCCTGTGAGTGTTGTTCCCTTTCCTGTACCCAAGGGTTCTCATTGTTTATCACCCACCTATGAGTGAAAATATGTGGTGTCTGGTTTTCTGTTCTTGTGTCAGTCTGGTGAGAATGATGGTTTCTAGAGTCATCCATGTCCCTACAAAGGACACAAACTCGTCGTTTTTTATGGTGTATATGTGCCACTATTTTTTGTCCAGTTTGTCATTGATGGGCATTTGGATTGGTTCCAGGTCTTTGCTGTCGTAAACAGTGCCACAATGAACATACATGTGCGTGTATCCTTATAATAGAATGATTTACAAACCTTTGGGTATATACCCAGTAATGGGATTGCTGGGTCAAATGGAATTTCTATTTCTAGGTCCTTGAGGAATCGCCACCCAGAGTGGCTTAACTTTTTTTTTTAATTGTGTTTTAGGTTTTGGGGTACATGTGAAGAACATGCAAGATTGTTGCACAGATACACTCGTGGCAGTGTGATTTGCTGCCTTCCTCCCCATCACCTGTATCTGGCATTTCTCCCCATGCGATCTCTCCCCAACTCCCCACCCCCTGCTGTCCCTCCCCTATTTCCCCCCAACATACAAGCATTGCTCTCCCCATCATAATAAACTGCCATGAGCTGCAGCTGGAGTCATATAAATGGACACATCTCAGGAAACAACACATACCTGAATTTTCTCTTTCTCACATCAGATGCTTCTTCAGTCTCAGCTGAGACTGACTCCTGGTTCTTAATTGTTGCAGTAGGGTCTTAGGATAAAATTTCCCAGAGCATGGTCCTTGGTCCCCTGGGTTGAGAACCACTCTGCCCTAGTTCCCTTCCATGTACAGTGGGCCACAGAATAGGACTGCACACTGCACAAGAGTACACAACTCAGAGGGCAAGAAGGGGCTACGTTCCAGCCTGTCTTTGTTCTGTGAGTCCACCGGGCCATGCCTTCTTAAGAAGAAGGGGCATCTTTTTTTTTTTTTTTTTTTTTTTTTTCAATTTCTACAAAGGCACCATATGGGTGAGAAGGGTCCTGCCCTTCAGGTGAAGCTGTGTAAACTCCTGGGCTCTGGAAGAGTTGTTACAATTGATTACTTAGCTAAATTAATCATATCCCATCCTCCTGGCCACTTTAATTGGTTGGAGAATGAGCACATAACCCATGTAGGGTTTTTCCTGGCCAATGAGGCTTAATTTGGAGGCTCCCGTTTAAGGGTTGTGGACCTGTTTCCTGGCAGAGGTGAGATGGCTTCAGCCATCTTACACTAGATGTGGCCAGATAATGAAGCTAATCCCAGGCAAAAATGGCCACAAAATAGAAGAAAAAAAACCTCCCATCTGGTAACTCTGTTGAGCTGTTGGTCAAGTTATACCTGAAGTTCCAATAGACTTAGGGACCATGGAGTGACATAATCATTACATTCTTTTTTTTTTTTTGAGATAGAGTTTCGCTCTTGTTACCCAGGCTGGAGTGCAATGGTGCCATCTCGGCTCACTGCAACCTCCGCCTCCTGGGTTCAGGCAATTCTCCTGCCTCAGCCTCCTGAGTAGCTGGGATTACAGGCACATGCCACTATGCCCAGCTAATTTTTTTGTATTTTTAGTAGAGACGGGGTTTCACCATGTTGACCAGGATGGTCTCGATCTCTTGATGACGTGATCCACCCGCCTCGGCCTCCCAAAGTGCTGGGATTACAGGCTTGAGCCACTTCGCTCGGCCAAATACATTCTTTTTATGCTGAAACAGTCTGGCTGCCAGTTGTGACCAAAGAAGTGGGGGAATCGCAGCACATATTTCATACACACGCCAGCACACACCTGCTCCCTCTGCGCCTCCTGGCTTTATGTTTGCACCACAGCTCTAGTCATCATCTCACAGTATGTCCTGTTCTTATTTAGTATGTTGTTTGTCTACGTCCCCTCCCCGTCCCTGATGAAATGGATACTCTACGATTGCAAGGAATTTTATTTGTTTTGCTCACTGATGGATTCTCAGCTTCGAAAATGAGTTCTTGGCTCACAGCATACGTTCAATAAGAATGTCTTGGGCCGGGCGCGGTGGCTCAGGCCTGTAATCCCAGCACTTTGGGAGGCTGAGGCGGGTGGATCACGAGGTTAAGAGATCGAGACCATCCTGGTCAACATGGTGAAACCCCGTCTCTACTAAAAATACAAAACATTAGCTGGGCATGGTGGCGCACGCCTGTAATCCCAGCTACTCAGGAGGCTGAGGCAGGAGAATTGCCTGAACTCAGGAGGCAGAGGTTGCGGTGAGCCGAGATGGCGCCATTGCACTCCAGCCTGGGTAACAAGAGTGAAACTCTCTAAAAAAAAAAAAAATGTATTGAATGATATATCCACTCAGTGAATTATTGAGGGTTACTAACATTTTACATACATAAACAAAAATCATGAGAGTTCTATCCCAGATTTCCAGATTATCCCAACCTTCCAGTAAGGTAGGTGACTGCTTATCCATGCCTTTCCCAGCATATGTGCACATGCAGACTGTCTGCATTTCAGCAATTTCAGGGAGGGAGCCTCGTTATTATAATATCACCAAGATAGTCTTAAGTTGTTGATGCTTTTCCATTGGAACTATTTTTAAATATATGGTAAATATTTTTATGTATTTACAGAATGACTTAGATTTTACTTTATTTTATCATAGTAGATATGCTATCTATAATTTTTTGAATTTTTATTTTGTTCAGCTCTACTTATTTGCTATCATGAGGTATTTATCTTCTTGAAAAAGCAAATAAACTAGGAGAGGGAGGTGGGCCATGATTTTTTTTTTTTTTTTTAACTTTCACAGGTGCCACAGTCAGAAAAAACGGAGAGTTTCTACCTTTATGAGATCTTCTCAGCCATGTTTCCTTTGCATTTTTTTTTCCAGTTCCTACAGGTAATACTACAGAATCTGGCACTTGTTCCAACAGGATTCTACTGTTGTTCTCATCGGTCTGGCGTTCCCAATTCATCTATCATCTGTATCATGCAGTCTGACACTTTCCTCTGTTTCTCTGACAGTGACTTGCCCAGAACCCTCTTGGGAGTTGGTGGTTGCTGTTTTGCTGAAGCTAACTATATGCTTTGAAAGAATGAGCCTTTTCCTTTTGCCTGTCGCTTGGTCTGAAATAGCATGATTAGGAGATTTATCTTTTGGGTTGACCAGGCTTTTCATGCTCGAGAGGAGCAACACATTTCAGTGTTTTCCTCTTCGACAACCAAAAGAACGACAAGGGTGTGATGAACGGAGGAAGAAGAAAGGAAAGGAGAGTGAAAGGAGACGTGATTAGGGCCGGGGCTCCATGTCTTCCACTTCCCCTTTCTTTCTACTTTTCTTTTAGCCAGTACTCTATTGCTGGTCTTAGCCTGCTAGGATGAGAGAGGAGTGTTCTAAGACTAAGGAATAAGACTCGTTGTGTTTGCCAGTTGGCAGTACATCGAATGAAGCAAGTGGCCATTCACGTAGCCTGAACTGCACGTCTGAACTGCATGCTCTCTCCCCCTTCTGGTGGTATTTTCCTCTAAGGAATGTGAATGTGATCATACCACAGTCATATGCTATAATCATTGAGTCCATGTTTGTTTCTTTTTACATGACAATGCAGATTCGTGACCTAGTGTGTCCTATATCTGTTTGCCAGCAAAATTACCTCCTTATGATGGAAGTAACCACCGCATAAGCCATTCCGAACCTCACGGAGCAAAGAGAGTCACACAAGGCCACACAGGTTATCAGTGGCAGTGGGGGAGATGAGTGTCCAGGATCCAGGTCAGCTCTATTATACCTGCTGTGACTGTCATCCCCCTCATAAGCCAAGAAGCACTCACAATTAAATAGCACCCACTCACCAAACCCCACTCAGAAGTTGGCAGGCATGTCACCTGCAGCTCTCCTCCCCTTGAACCAGTGTGACTGCAGGGGTAGAGGAGGCAGAGACTCAGATGAAGGAGATGAAGAAGCACTTGGCTGTATTTCTTGGTCTTATTTCACTTTTCCACTTTCACCACTACTGAACTGGAACACAGCAACCTCTTATGCATAAGACAGTTTATTAAAAGAATGTATGGCCCACAACAGCCTAGCAAGGATTCTACTAGCAAACCTTCCCATGGCCAAAAGAAAAACGAGCAGGAGTTGAGTGGGCATGTGTGGGCAATGGAGAGAGGGCAGAGGGTGTCGAAGCTGAAAGGGGCTAGAGGCTTACTCATGAGTTTCTTCCTCCTGTCTTCAAGTCTTTACTTCTTATGGCCAAAGACTCAGCTGTTTCATTGGCTGGAGAAGCACTTTTCTAGACTGCTCAAGACAGCCAGAGAGAGGGGAGGAAGGAAGAAGTGTCGGGTCTGACCCACAGACCCTGACCCAGCAATGGATGAACAAATGCAGATGCACTCAGACACAAATAACCGGTGGAAGAGTGGGCTGGGGGTCTGGGCAGCTTACAGACACCCAGAGGAGGGTCCAGTAATGAGTTTAGCAGCCATGACCCTGACTAGCCAGTGAAGTACACATTTATTTAGTACAGATTAAATGACAAAGGTCTTGACCAAACACCGCTAATGGGTAATTAATTTTGCCAACTCCCCGAGTAGAGAGCAGTTCCCCGCACGTAAGATCAAAGGTTGGTCGTAGGCCCACCTGAGTAAACAAGCTATTTAGATAAATTCCTCTACATTCCCATGTATTAACACCCTAAGCTTTTAAAGAATTCAGCTGCCTTTGGCTAAACCTTTTATTGAAGCTATGCAACCCTGCCCCCCTGGCCTTCCAAGAAGGTTTGTGGCTATTTCCTATAACTACCTTTATAATGCTTCCTCTAAAATTTTTCCCACCACCCTGACTCAACTCCCACAAAGAAGGGTGCTGTGGAAAGGGATGGCAGGGTGAACGTTTACAGCTAGAAGTCACTACTGTGCCAATGCTAAAGTTTCTGTCCCTAAGCCTAAAAAAGCCAGTGCAACAGGGGCCTTAACACTCTTATTTTGCTAGGTTTCCTCTCTGAGATAATGAGCAGATTTAGCCTGGCTAGCAGAAAGAAAGAGGACAGGGCTGTACGGGAGTTAGCAGAATCTTCCTTCTTGCTCTATGGTCGGTATTTGCACAGGAAGTGTTGGCGCTTGTTGCATTCGTTGCTGTTCCAAGTTAAAAAGTCTGTAAGAAAATAAACAGACATTTAAATCCATTTCGTTCTGTGCTGAGCTTGCCAGCGTTTTTTTTTTTTGTTTTTTTTTTTTTTTTTTTAGACGGAGTTTCACTCTCGTTACCCAGGCTGGAGGGCAATGGTGCGATCTCGGCTCACCGCAACCTCCGCCTCCTGGGTTCAGGCAATTCTCCTGCCTCAGCCTCCTGAGTAGCTGGGATTACAGGCATGTGCCACCATGCCCAGCTAATTTTTAGTATTTTTAGTAGAGACGGGGTTTCACCATGTTGACCAGGATGGTCTCGATCTCTCGACCTCGTGATCCACCCGTCTCGGCCTCCCAAAGTGCTGGGATTACAGGCATGAGCCACCGCACCTGGCCGCCAGCATTATCTTGACGTTTTTCTTGGAGTCACAGATAAGGCGATTATGACAGTTGACTTAACGTGTCAACTTGACTAGGCTATGGTGTATAGTTGTTTGATTGCTGTGAAGGTGTTTTTTAGATGGGATTAACATTTAGAAATCAGTAGACTTTGAGTAAAGCAGATGACCCTCCATCATGTTGGTGGGCCTCCTCCAATCAACCTAAGGCCTTAACAGAAAAGACTGGTCTACCAAAGGGGAAGAAATCCTGCCTCCAGACCATCCTTGGACTCAAGACCACACATTAACTCCTGCAAGAATTTCCAGGTTGCTGGCCTGCCCTGTGGATTTCAGACTTGACAGCCCCCACAATTGCATGAGTCAATTCCTCAAAGTAAATCTCTATCTCTCTCTATATACATCCAATTACTTCCGTTTCCCTGGAGAAACTTAATACAGACACTAACTTTGCCAGTGAGAGAAAAATCCTTTAAATGTCACACACCACGGCAAAAGCTCCACTCCAGCACTGCTTTTGAGGGAAGGTGGGGGTTGACACGAATCAAATGAGAATGAGGGGCTCTTGTGTTGAAGCAGGATGCAGTGAGGATCTGAGGGTAGCCTTTCCTCAAGTCCACAGCTGAGGCTCTAAGAAGCTCCTGTTCCATGTTCAATGAACTGAAAGCTTGTAAAGCCAGTCACATCCCAACAGGACATCTGCTTATGAAAAAAGGCTGAGTCTGGGCCCAGTGGCTCACGCCTGTAATCCCAGCACTTTGGGAGGCCCAGGCAGGTGGATCATGAGGTCAAGAGATCGAGACCATTCTGGTCAACAAGGTGAAACCCCGTCTCTACTAAAAATACAAAAAATTAACTGGGCATGGTGGCACGTGCCTGTAATCCCAGCTACTCAGGAGGCTGAGGCAGGAGAATTGCCTGAACCCAGGAGGCGGAGGTTGCGGTGAGCCGAGATCACGCCATTGCACTCCAGCCTGGGTAACAAGAGCAAAACTCCGTCTCAAAAAAAAAAAAAAAAAAAAGAAAGAAAAAGAAAAAAAGAAAAAGGGCTGAGCGCAAGGTGGAGGTGGCCTTTTGAAGGACTGGAGTATTTTTGAGGCGAGGTCCAACTATTTCCCTCCCAGAAGCTGAGCTCCACAGGGTCACTCGACATCCTCGGGTTTCTGCAGCAGAGTGAAGAGTTGTTTCTTGGCTGGGTGTCTGCTTGGGCCCTGACCTGCAGATCTGGCCCTGTTCCCAGTGTGTGTTGGCTGGGCGAGAGCCCTGGGGAGAGGAGTGGGTGAGGTGTGCCCCTCCCACTCCTTGTTCTTGGGAGGCACAGAGAATGAGGCCTGCTCATGCCTGCCTCCATAGGGCTCAGCACAGGGACCGTGGAGTGTCAATGAAACGGGGCCTGCAAGCTTGTGAGCACTTTCACAGTGTGGGGCAAAACGAATACAACACAAGGCCATGGGCCAGGAGCCATATTGGGGAGTCTGCCTGCATAGGGTGCTGCTTGAGGTTGACTCTCATTAGCAGGTTTTTTTGAGGTTGCTGCCCTATGAACCTGTGGATAAGCTAGAACAGCAGCTTCAGACAATTAAGCACAACACAGCTCGCCACAGTCACTAAGCAAGAGAGGTTACTGTTTCACTCTGCTCCTCCCTCCTCACCAGAGTGGGGTGCAGGGAAGGGTGAATGAGAGACTGTCCTGCATTCCCTTTCCTCCAGGAGCTGCGAGCCTAGCTTGCATGTGATAAGCATGCTACATGTATTCAGATGATTAGGGCCATTATGTTCTCCTTTTCATAAGGAGGCATTTGAGGCACAGAGAAGTCAGAGATGTGCACAGGGTCACAAAGCTCGGTTTGGAGGAGCTGGGATTCTACTCTGGACATTTGGAATGCAGAACCCACATTCTTCACCACAATGGATACTGAATATAAAATTTCTTTTCAAATTGCAAAACCCCAGTTACCACGATTAAACGTCTAAAAGTGGACCAGCAAAAAGTCAGGAAACAGTGCAAGCTGCAATTTTCCAAAGTCACAGAACACATTTTGACATAAAGGGGAAAGTCAGAAAGGGTGAGAGAGGGACACACACAGTACAATGCTCTGGAGTTCTTTCTAAAGAGATATAAAAAAGGAACAAGCCCTGTCACAGAGAGAGAACAGGAATGTGTGCGTGGCTGCGTATTGAGGCATTAATATTCTACATTTTGAATTAAAAAAGAAGCTGGCCGGGTACGGTGGCTCACGCCTGTAATCTCAGCACTTTGGGAGGCCAAGGTGGGTGCATGATGAGGTCAAGAGATCGAGACCATCCTGGTCAACAAGGTGAAACCCCGTCTCTACTAAAAATACAAAAAATTAGCTGGGCATGGTGGTGCGTGCCTGTAATCCCAGCTACTCAGGAGGCTGAGGCAGGAGAATTGCCTGAACCCAGGAGGCGGAGGTTGCGGTGAGCCGAGACTGTGCCATTGCACTCCAGCCTGGGTAACAAGAGCGAAACTCAGGTCTCAAAAAAAAAAAAAAAAAAAAAAAAAGCGTATTTCAGAAAAAAAAAGTGAGTGGATTTAAAGAAAATATTGAGTAAATAGCAGAACAGCTGGTACGTTGATATGGCAAAGACTGTAAAGTGGTCACAAAGGACTGAAGGTTGGTGACCAGTGTCTGTGGCCAGGCCACTGCCCTGCTGGAGAAGAGTTGCTGGTGTGGAATGGGGACGGTAGGGGGTCCCCCGCATCCATTTTCACTCTTACCAGGTAAAGGAAAGAAGCCGCATGTTGGGAAGCGGTGAGGGGTGGTGCGTTAGAACTTACTGTTACTGGAGCCCATCTCGGCACAGTGTTTGTTCCCACCCATGGACTTGCCAGACCAGGATCTGTACAGATAAGCGGCCCCGTCAATCCACTGCCATCGCTGCCTCTGAAACAACAGGAGGTGGAGAAGCGCACTGCTCAGAACCAGCCAGTCACAGCCAAGGAAGGCCCCGCAAGCCCCTTTAAAACATGGTTTTCATTGCAAACATTGGGAAGGTACAGAAATGCTTAAAGAAGGAAAAATAGAAAGTCATTCCACTCAACCATGAATAGAAAAACATTACCAATATTACTGCAAAAAAAATAGAAATAGATGTAAGTGTTTATTCGATCTGAATGACAGGATCCTGATGGAAAGCAATGTGAATACGTAAAAAGGTAAAATTTCTGATCGTCAAATAAATGACATTAAAAATGAAATAACTGTATAAAATACTTGTAACAACTATGGCAGAGGATTATTAGTTTGGCTGTAATATAATGTTCCAAAAGAGAAAGAGCCATATTTATAGACGAATACTAAAAGGTAAACACATATTCATGAAAGAGTGTGAATGAATGTGTTGTATCTTCAGCAGGTTTATTAAGCAGGAATTGTGGGGGTTCCCACTTTATGTCCCCTATGTTTGTTTGAGTCAACTAAAGAAGCCCCAGCAAGAATCTGCGAACTGAAGCCCCCATATCTAGATCTCACCAACCAGCTGTTCCTTACAGAGAGCTCTCATGCCATTTCTTACAATAAGACATTGATGAAAAGAACAGAGTTACAGTGAAAAACATCAAGGATAACATAAAAAACATTACAGCATCTAAAAGAAAGGCTAGCTGAAAGCTTTCAACTTTAAAGCAAGATCCGATGGAGATTTGATTAATCTGTCTTGTAACAGGTCTGTGTACATACAAACACACACACACACACACACACACACACACACACACACACACAGTTTTTAGGTCTAGAAAGCTGGTAATTTTGTGCTCTATGATTCAGGAGGACCTTAATTAGACAAAGGTCTATACAATGGAGTCATTTAGATCACATCCTCCACTGAGGGTCAGAACGGGGCCCCTGACCTTGAGGCCTTGGTCTTTGTCAGTTGGAGGCATATCTGGAGAAGATTCACTGCTGTGTCCTTGTTACAGGCCGAGAGGCCATTCCCCCAAAAGAGGATGCCAGCCTGGCTTTCCCAAGAGGGCCTTTGTGGCCAAGTCTGAGGGTTACCTTCTGTGGGTCATGCAGGCCGATCCATACGGGCTGGCTTCTCTGATAGCCGCTTATGTACTCTGCTATGGTGCTGGCTTCCTTTAAATTCAGGACAGATGCCAGGTGGGCTCCATTTCCGTAAGACTGACACTCGAGCTACGTGCAAGGAGAAATCCTGTTAATGATGCCTGGATGTTTAAAGCACAGCCCTCTCAGAATGCTAGTGTGCCAAGCAGGTGGGACTCACACAGCCCCCGCTTCCTCCACGCAGCGTGCTCTAAACCCCACAAAAGACTTCCTGCCACCCTGGGAAAAAACACAACTGCCCTCCACAGCGTTCGGTCTCAGAGGAAGAGGCAGTACAGAGATTTAGGGTCCAAGGACATGCCTGGGGCCCCAGTCTTGCCTCTCAGGTGTATGTGACCTTGACAAATCACTTCATCTCTCTGAGGCTCAGTTTCTTCATCTGGAAAATAATTACTGCTACCTAGGACCTGTCATGAGGACTAAATGTATTATAATACTGCATTTCAACAAATCTAAGGACCTGCTGATTGTACCCTGTGCCATTATTTTATGTCCCGTGAAGAAAGAAAACAAAATCACTGTCAATGAATGTATGGTACACTGTGTTTGTAGCACACACCTGATTTCAGAGGCGTCAGAACGTGAACACAATGTCCATCAAGAACAGACGACATGGCAACGCTCTTCGAGGTGTACCTCCCATACACCGGGCACCTCATGGGCACTATCCCATTCAGTCCTAACCGCAGCCTAGGGAGGTGGGGCCCACCTTTTGTTTATGGATGCAGAGATGGAGGATCAGGAAAGGTCAGCTGGACACAGGAAAAGAGCCCAGCTCTGCCTAATACCTTAGCCTAGATTCTCTCTATGTTAGATTACTATTATCCTATGTTACATAAGAATAACACATGGTAAACTGTGAACGGAGGTTTGTAACTGATTTTGACTCGCTACTGAATAAGTATGGATCAATTGCCTAAACATGTGAGGTGGTCCTCCAGAGGAGTGGAGACTCCTCCCTGCGCTCGTGTAGCATCTCTGCTTACTGAAGATGAATGTGCCCACTTCTTTGCCTTTCCTCAACAGTAGCCATGCCACCAAATCTGGTTTGATTTGGTGGGGGGTTCTTCTGCACCAGAGGCAGATACGTAACTATCTGCTCTGTTGCAACTTTTAAAACTTTCAGCTCGAATCCCCAGTCTGTTCTACTCCTGTATGTCAGCATATCGATCCCAAATTCTCCTTCTTTTGCAAAAAGTGCTACCTTCTTCCATCTCCAAGGGCATGCAATCTGAATGTTTCTTGGGGGTGAATAAACGGGAATCACTCACTGTTTTAAGGATTGTATGGAACGCATGACATGACAAATTCTTGTTCTGTAACCAGAAACCTATTATTCAATTAAACAAGGCAAATGTTTATATATATTTGGGTGTGTGATTCACAACTTTATTTTCTTCTCTTCTGGAGTTGTGTTACATGACAAGAAACTGAATTAATTCAATAAAATTATAGTTTGGGTTGCTTAGATTTTCACTGCTCCAGTTCTTGCTTTTACTAATTTACTCAAGATTCGATGTGATTACCATTTAATAATAATTTAGTCCTCACACTTGCAAACCACTTACAATACCAGCAAGCTTCTATAGCTGTAATTCTATTTAATTCTCAGGTCTGTGAGGCATGCCAGCCAGATGACCAGACAGCATTTATTGAGTGCCTACTGAGTACCAGCCACAAAAGATCCTTGTGTCAGAAGGGGAAACAGGCTTGGAATATGTTATGTGATGGCCTCCCTCCCGGTCCACACAGTTGGTAGTTCTGGAGCTGCAACTAGAACTCAGGCCTCTGTCACTCAAGCTCAAGGTCAGATGTCCACGTGCTTCTCACGTTGCCTCCATCAGCTTCCAGGTGTCTCAAGAGCCAAGAACAGCAGCAACACTGGCGAGGAATCAGGGAACAGCACAGCCCAGGCTGAGTGGGAGGGGTCCCCTTTGGGCTCACCATCCCAGCACCCTCTCTGCACTCTGATCCTGTTAAATCTGTTAAGGTTCAGCGTCAATCCTGGGCGCTGTTCTTTCTTGAGACCCTAAATTAACATCTACCATGTGCTTTATGCGAGCTGTTTTAATGAATCCTCTTGACAACTCTATGAGGTAAAAGGTATTATCCCACTTTCCAGTAGGGAAACAGGTAAACGGCGGTACCTAAAGAGCGGCAGAGTTTGATTTAAACTCAGATCTCTATTACCCTGGGTTCCCAGACATCTTCCTTTTTGTTCTCTTTGTTTTTACAGAGAAAGTCTATTGCTCTCCACGAGCTCATTTCCTTTCCAGGGACAGAGTCTGGGAAACCCCTTCTTTGCTGTTTCACTCTCGTTTTTATACAATTATTCAGGACTCGGCTCAGACTTCACTGGGGTTGCTGTGTCCGTTACCCTCAGTGTAAACTTGGAAAGTCATTTATACTCACGCTGCATTTCAGTAGCTGGCATCTGGTCGCTACTTCATTCTTTTATTTTCTGTTTTTCATTGTCGAGTTATATACAGGGATTCTAAGACCACATGGGCCCAGATCACGCCAAATGTACCCACACGGCTCCCCCAATTAATCACAATTCACAGAGACAGCAGCACCGACGCCCCACACGCGGCTGAGATAACTCACTCTGATTGCCTATTTGATTATCCCTAAAAACTTCAGTGAAATAAAACGGACATGTCTGTGGACTGTGTGGAGCAGTGGAAGTTTCCACGTTTGCTTGGACTGTTTCGCCTTCTGTCAGCGGCTCCCAGGTGTCTGCTCCACGCGTGTGTACACATCACTTTCTTTCTGGTAAATGTCAGAACGCAGGAACAGGAGCTCAGTTATCCTTTCAGTGAATTCCTCCTTTGATTGATGCATTTCTGTCTCCTTTACTGACAGAGAGCTCGCTGAGGGTAGGGGCTGTTTCCTATGCATCCATATATGCTTGTAGCCCATCTAGAGTCTGGCATACAGCGCCTGCTTCAGCAATGCTTACAGAACTGAATGAGTTGAACACACAATCCTTTTCTCTCCATTTCACTACCCAACGGGCTTCTCTTCAGAATGCCCAGGAAGAGCCCTGGATCCTGAATCAAATGAGATCTGGGGCTCCGGCTGGTCCTTTGCTCTAGAAAGGCCAGGCAAGCAATCGGCAGGTTTCTTACCTCGGCGTCAGACCAGCTCCTCAGCTTCCGGAAGTAACCATAGCAATTGGCCCTGTGGTAAAACCATCCAGTAGCACAGCTGGGTCTCATGATGATATCTGCACATAAACAAAAAGCGATTTCACGTTATGATCACAAAAACCATTCCCAGACTTGATACAGTCTGCAATCAGGAACCCTTTGAATGAAGAGAGTCCCCTCACGAAGATCACTGCTATACTGCCAAAAATGTGTACAGTTTACTCTTCTTCTGGCTTTTTCCAAAGGGACCTGCAACCTATGGCTGTTTACCAGTGTGACTGTGTTTCTGCAATTACTGGACACTGCCTCTGAACTAATTCCAAGAAAATGTCACTGTGGTCCTCCAGTCAGAGCAGGAATTATGGAAGTCACATGATCAATGAAGTTTCAGCTTGATCTGCCTCACAGTGGGTCCAGTGAGCCCAGGGGGTCCTCCGAACCCGTGCTGTGGTCATTTCCCCAGCTCTGGAATGCGTCATTGGAATAGACATACCTACATCATTGGGAAAGATAGACACACATAACTAGAATAGATTCTCAGCATCTGGCAGAATCTTGCGTTAGTAGAGAAGGTCAAACAACTATAATTTAAGGCATCACAAGAGTGGATGAGGGACATAAATTGGTAGTTTGGGGCGTTACAAGGAGGGAGAAGTCATTTTGGCCTGGGAGACAAGGGACCCGGTCACATGGCAACTTGACTGGAACTTGAGTGTAAGGTGGGCCATGTGTCAGTCCTGGGGAAGGGAACATTTTAGGAAAGGAGACAGGAATGTGAGGGCATGCATCGAAACACACGCACTTAAGTCTGCCTTAAGTACAGGATGTCTGTCAGGCAACTGCAGAAGAAATAGGAAAGAGCCAGAGCCTAGAGGCAAAGGAAGCCATGATTCAGGGAGGCACACGCTTTTCCTGCTAGTCAACTGGTCACTAAATCTGAAGTGACACTGGCCGTGTCACTGAATCTGAAGGTTTATAAAGAGGGGGAGATGGCTGGATGTACAGAGGCACCAGGTGATCCAGGGGACGTCAAGCTAGCAAGTGTAGGCTCTGTGACCACGTGGCTACCCTGGGACACCATGATGGCTGCAGAAGTGTTTCTTTCCCTAAGAGGCGTCCATAGACCACAGTTGTCATGACCGCATTTTCTCTCTCCTCATTCAAATGATACTACTCTCATGTGTTTGCCCCGCCCTTCTGTTTTAGTTCAGCCCCTGCCTATCAATCTCCCAGGGCTCCCCATTGCTTTCAGATGAGCTCTCTGCTGGTCTGGCATGTGGGAGATTGTATGACCTGGTTGTGCGCCCCTGTCCAGACACATCCTTCCATGCCACAGTCCCAGCTCCGTCTTGGAACACGATGCTCAGTGTAGCTTTAGACCCCTTGCACGTGCTATTCCTGGTACCTATGAATAGTGGATAATGACTAACCCCAGCTAAGGCAAGGCAGGAAAGGTTTCAACGCATAGGTCAAATATACTATGAACAAACGGCAAAGACATTCATGTATTTAAATGCTTCCTCTTCTACCACATTCAGAAATAGGGACATAATTTTATGATAAATAAAAAGCAGCCTTTATGCCATTGCTGTTACTACTAGTACCACTGTGACCAGCTTCTGTAGATAAGGGGCCGGACTTTCCATCATCTCTCCGTTCATTCTGTCTTTGTGCTCTCTGTCTCCATCTCTGTCTCTTTGTCTCTGTGTCTCTGTGTGTCCTTCCTTGTCTATGACTCGTCTGTTTGCTGCTCTCATTTCCCCCCACCTCCTCCTTCCTCACGTTTCTCTCTCTCTCCCCTCCCCCTTCGGCCCTTCACCTTGCAAGATTCTTTCTTAGTGCCAGGCATTGTGTTAAATGTTTTACCCATATTGTATCCTTATCATAATTGCTTGAGGAGATAAGGAAACAGGCTCAGGGTGGTCATCTGCCCAAGGTCACAAGTAAGAAGGAAAAGCTGCTTTGCAGATTCAGCTCCCTATGACTTAAAAATCTATGTTACTAGGCTGGATGCGGTGGCTCATGCCTGTAATCCCAGCACTTTGGGAGGCCGAGGCGGGTGGATCACAAGGTCAAGAGATTGAGACCATCTCGGCCAACATGGTGAAACCCCGTCTCTACTAAAAATACAAAAATTAGCTGAGTGTTTGGCACGCACCTGTAGTCCCAGCTACTCATAAGGCTGAGGTAAAAGAATCGCTTGAACCTGGGAGGTGGAGGTTGCAGTGAGCCAGGACTGTCCCACTGCACTCCAACCTGGGGACAGAGCAAGACTCCATATCAAAAAAAAAAAAAAAAAAAAATCTATGTTACTGCCACCAACCCTCCCAACCTTTATAAATATGAAAGAATGAAAAATTAGAAACGTAGCAATAGAAATAATTAACTGGACTGCCTTGATTATTTTGTCAGGAGGAAAAGAAATTTTTGGACTTCCAGTGAAAATGGATCTTCTTAAGAGAAGGCTGCCCATTGATTAGCAGAGGGCAGATAATGACATGGGCGTGAATTTCAGAAAGGGCCAGCTGGAAAATATGCCTTCCGACTTAATACCGGTGAGACTGTTCTGAAAGCAGGGACAAAGAGGAGCCCAAATCTCCGGCCTTAGGCCTGAGGACAAAGGCCCGTGGCATCACACCAGGTGTTTTTGGTTTGGTCTCGGGCACTCTGAAGCAACTCCCCTTGGCAGCCTGTGGGCAAACATGTTAGGACGTGAACCTCCACCACCATGGTTTTTGTTTCCTCTGGATCCAAGCCATGAAAGCAGAGGGCCTAGAAGGGTCACACGCAGAGGACTTGGAGGGTCAGCGTGAAGGAGACCCACAGCTATACACGAGCCCACACAGTTAAGCTCTCTCTCTTCTGTTTCTCTCCCGTCGCTGTCTCTCTTTGTGTTTCTCTGAGCGTCTCTGTGTTCAGTTGTCTCTGTGCATCTGTCTCTGACTTTCTGTGTATCTCTCCTTTCTCTCTGGGGGAGAGAACTCTGTCACCGTCTCTGTCTCTTTTGTCTCTGTGCCTCTGTGTCTGTGCGTGTCCTTCCTTGCCTACGACCCTCTGTTCTCTGCCTCTCATTCTTTTCCTCCCCCTTCTCACTCCTCACTTCATCTCTCTCCCCTCCCCTTCTGCTCCGCCCCCTGCAATGCTGCTGCTATTGCCGTGAGCCCCCTGGTGGAGACATTTCAGCTCCTCGATCTGCCACTAACCGCCACGCTGCTGCGCTGTGGCTCTGCCTTCTGCTGCTCCACTCCCAGCGCCCAGGCTGGAGGGCAACAGCACCATCTCGGCTCACTGTAGCCTCGACTTCCTGGACTTAGGTGATCCTCCCACCTCAGCCTCAGGAGTAGCTGGGACTACAGGTGAGCACCACGATGCCTGGCTAGTTTTTTGTACTTTTTTTTTTTTTTTTTAAGTACAGACGGGAGTTTGGCCACATTGCCCAGGCTGGTCTTGAACTTCTGGGCTCAAGTGAACCACCCGCCTCGGCCTCTCAAAGTTCTGGGATTACAGGTGCCAGCCACCACACCTGGCCTTACACCACACTGTGCATTTACTATGCACCCGGTCCAGGTCCAGGCCATTTACACACATTCTAATCATCTTCATAACAACACTGTCATTTTTCCTACGTTCCAGATGAAGAAACAAAGACAGAGAGAAAGTATCGTGTCTCAGGATCCCACGGAAAATAAATGATAAAGGCAAGATTTGATCCGAGACAGACAGTCCGACTCGAAGTCTTAGTCATCTTAGTAATGGTGCTCACGTCATTGTTTTAAATCCTGTATGGCTCAAGCACATTCGTTGAGATTATTTTGTTTAATCACCAGAGCCTCCCTGGGAGATCCTGTGTGGATGACCATCTCCATTGTACAGAGAAGGGAAATTCGTCAGAGGAGTGAGTAACCTGCTGAGGCTACCCAGATGCGGGGTGCAGTGGAAACTGGGAGAGAGGCCAATGTTTCCATGGTGGCCTTAGAACCTTGACCCCACCTCACATGATGCTCCATCCCCTCATCTCTGCACATGCCCTGTCAGGAGGTTTCAGCTTCTAGCATCTTGCCTGGACCACTCTAATCCTCTTTCCACTCCATCACTTATTTCATGTCTGACCTTAGGAATGTGATTTAGTCTCTTTTAGCTTTACTTTTCTTGACTGCACAGTGGGATCAACAATTACGCCTTCTTCACACAGTAGTTGGGAGGATTAATTAAGATAATTCATGTACAGTGATCAGCACAGAGCCTAGTGATTAGGAATTGTTCAATAAACACTAGCTAGTTAAAACTTGAAGCTATTAAACCCATTATCATTATTATGGAATATTTTTGAAAATATAAGCCAGATGAAGTTTTTTACTGCCCATAAATGATGGAGCTCTATGTCTCCCCTCGCTGAATCAATGGCATGGATTGCTTCAGGGGAAGGGCAGCTATCAGGACAGAGAAATCACTGTGGAAGCAATCAGAGCTTAATGTTCACTGCAAGGTGTTGCTGAGAGCGAAAATTTCTAAATCCCCTCTATTTCTCTTAAGCATGGCAGTGCAAAAAACATTTAGGATATATCATAAGGGAGGTTCCCCCAAGGTATTAAGAATAAGTAGAAAGTCCTTCTAGAGCTGGAAGAAAGAGCTATCCGGAAAAGAGAAATTGGAGGACCTGTGGTGAATATTGTGTCTGTATCTCCTCCTTTGGAGAGAAGCCAGAAAGGTTAGTGAGATCTCGGGGATGGGAGGAGGTTTGTATCATATTCCCCAGGATACAGCTTGGGCAGATTTCAAGTTTCATTAAGGAAGCCTGAGGTTGCAGGGAACCACCTGTCCACTTAGAAATGGCCACATACTCACGCCTGTAATCCCAGCACTTTGGGAGACCGAGGCGAGTGGATCACGAGGACAAGAGATCGAGACCATCCTGGTCAACATGGTGAAACCCCGTCTCTACTAAAAATACAAAAATTAGCTGGGCATCGTGGCACGTGCCTGTAATTCCAGCTACTCAGGAAGCTGAGGCAGGAGAATTGCCTGAACCCGGGAGGCGGAGGTTGCAGTGAGCCCAGATCGCGCCATTGCACTCCAGCCTGGGTAACAAGAGTGAAACTCCGTCTCAAAAAAAAAAAAAAAAAAAAAAAAAAAAAAGAAATGGTCACATAAGACAGGTCTGCAGGAGGGGCTCAAGAGAGGCCCCCAGAGACTTGCACTTTCTTGCACGGCTGAGTTCCACAGGTCCTGAGCCGCCTGAGATAGTTGAGTGAACTGGTGTAGGGTTGCAGGCAAAGAGCCATGGAGGACATATTAAGGATAAGCTATGACCAGGACCACAGACTTCAGCCATAGGGGCCAACACGATGCCCAGAGGACCTTGCTTTTCTTCACATGTCCTTCCAAATCATCCTACCCATGGCTGAGGACATTCCCCAGGAGGAGCAGTGCTAAGTTAGACAGCACTGGATCCCTCTGGAAGCCCTCTTCTCAACAAAGGAGACACTCAAGCATGGATTCTTCCCTCACTCTTACATATCCAATGCCCAGCAAGGCCACATGGGACCGTGAAAAGCACTAAAATCCAAGCATCTGTTAGTCTTACTGTGTGACGTCGTCGAGTAAATCTCTACCTTTCTCTGGACCTCATTTACCTTGTAAATAGAAGGAAGGCATGACACCGGATGAGTTTCCATTTCATTTCTTTCTATTCCTGGTATTTTGTGACATTGCTTCTTTTTTTTTTTCCATAGGTTTTTGGGGAACAGGTGGTGTTTGGTTACATGAGTAAGCTCTTTAGTGGTGATTTAAGAGATTTTGGTGTATCCATCTCCCGAGCATAGTATATACTGAACCCAATTTGTGGTCGTTTATCTCTCACCTCCTTCCCACTCTTTCCCCCTAAGTCCCCACAGTCCCAACATCTAATCTTTTAGGACCAGCTTCAGTGGTCCTAAAAGAAACCTCCTGCCCATCCTCGTCTCCTCACTAATGTACCACATTTTCTGCTCCTCCCTGGCTTCAGCCCATGAATGAAATGATACTGAGTGGCCCTCTTCATGTGTGACTCTACATGGTATCATCTCAACCTGACTGTAAAATCCTTCTGAAGAGGTGCAGTGTATTTTTCATCGCAAAATGTTCCACTGCCAAACTAAGCTTAGTACATAGATTCTATACAAATACTTGCTGTATGAATTAGAAACTCAGTTTCACTAAATGCCCCAGGTTCTTCAGATCATTCATAACCATGTGAAATTGTAGACATGCATGTGGCTCTTTCTTCCAGCTCTAGAAGGACTTTCTACTTATTCTTAATATTTTGGGGGAGTCTCCCTTATGATATATCCTAAATGGTTTTTGCACTGCAATATTAAGAGCAATAGAGGGGATTTAGAAATTAATTTTCTCTCTCAGCAAAACCTTGCAGCGAACATTAAAATTTAATGCTTTTTGCACTGCGATGCTTAAACATCTAGTTCAGCCTAAGCCTTTCAGGTTAAACTGGAACTTTTCCTGTGACATTGCTTCTTATATCACTCATACAGGGTTCCTCCCCTGCTTTCTCTATTGGTGGATTCGACAGTGTTATGACTCACTTTGTTACCATGTTACTTTGCACTTGATGTGTGGTCTGTAAGTGTGTAAGAGCCACCTCTCCAACTAGATTGCAGGTCCCCTGCAAACTGGAACCCCTAATAATGCTCAAATGATAAGCCAGTGCATAAGCACTGGGGAATTCTAATCATCTTCATAATAACCCTGTCGTAATACCCTTCATGATAACCCCGGGGAATTCTAATTACGGCTATGACTTGTTGACAGTCTACTAGGCATCAGGGGTTTTAAATGCATTATCTCTGCCCTTCACAATAAACTTGCAAAATTAATATTATAAGTTACACTGAACCAATGATTTAAGTATGGTTTACAACCATAGAGAATTGGGTTTTGTTGGATTCTCGAGTCCTTGAATTTTTTAGTACCTATCTTCGTTTTTCATCTCTATGTTTTAAAATCTTTTTCCTACAGGGCCTTAATGTTGTTGTGGGCGAATGGATGGCTGTCCTACATGGGCTGCGTGAACACTGGCCATGGCTCAGTTCCAGCTAAGTAATGGGTACTCACCACTTAGGACTCCTGTGTTGGGCAGGCAGCTCAGTAGTAGGAGCAGCCGCATGCTTTTAGAGGTCATCTTCTTCTTTCCCTAAGGATGTGGCTACTGCAAGGATCTCAGAGTTCTTACTGGCAAGTCTTTGAAACTCCTGGGTTTTCCTTGATCTGCGAATCTGAACACATTTGCACAGGTGAGAGGGACCCAGGAATCTAGATGCTAACTCACATATAGCAGAAAAGAATGCAGTGTTTTCCTGATGAAATCCAGACTTTAAAGGAATCTCAAGTAGATGTACAGGTTAGAAAATGTTAAGAGATTTTGTTCTCACCTTCAAGACCTCCTGGGCCAGTGCCAGAGATCTGTGCCAGAGATCTAACTATAGCAGGCTGAACGGTTTCATAGTCTGAATGGAAGCAATTTATAAACCACTGAGCACTCGCCCCTGTTAGCTTCAGGAGAGCCAGTAGATGGTGCCCAAGGCAAGTTTCCTCATGGCTAAGGCAGTGATGGGCTTTCTGTTGTCAAGAACTGATACAAGAACAGAAAATCAAACACCGCATGTTCTCACTCATAGGCGGGTGTTGAACAATGAGAACACATGGACACAGGGAGGGGAGCACTACACACTGGGGTCTGTGCGGGGGGAATAGGGGAGGGACAGTGGAGGGTGGGGAGTTGTTGGGGGGATGGCATGGGGAGAAATGCCAGATATAGGTGAAGGGGAGGAAGGCAGCAAATCACACTGCCATGTGTACCTATGCAACAATCTTGCATGTTCTTCACATGTACTGAAAAACCTAAAATGCAATTTAAAAAAAAGAAAATCCAATAAATGGTGTTGGGAAAACTGGCTAATAATGTGCAGAAAGCAGAAATTGGACCCCTTCCTGTCACCTTGCAATAAAATTAACTCCAGATAAATATAAAACCTAACAGCATAAAAACACTAGAAGAAAACATAGGCAAAACCATTCAGGACATAGGCATATGCAAGGACTTCATGACTAAAACACCAAAAGCAATGGCAACAAAAGCCAAGATAGACAAAGGGGATCTCATTAAACTCCAGAGCTTCTGTACAGTGAAAGAAACAATCATAAAAGCGAACCAGCAACCAACAGAATGGGAAAAAATTTTTGCAGTCTACCCATCTGACAAAGGGCTAATATCCAGAATCTACAAAGAACTAAAACAGATTTACAAGAAAAGCAAACAAGTCCATTCAAAGGTGGGCGAAGGATATGAACAGACACTTTTCAAAAGAAGACATGCATGAGCCCAACAAACATATGAACAAATGCTCATCATCACTGGTCATTAGAGAGATGCAAATCAAAACCACATTGAGATACCATCTCATGCCAGTTAGAATGGCAATCATTAAAAAATCTGGAGACAACAGATGCTGGAGAGGATGTGGAGAAATAGGAACACTCTTATACAGTTGGTGGGAGTGTAAATGAGTTCAACCATTGTGGAAGACAGTGTGGCGATTCCTCAAGGATCTAGAAATAGAAATTCCATTTGTCCCAGCAATCCCATTACTGGGTATATACCTAAAGAACTATAAATCATTCTACTATAAAGACACACACACAAGTATGTTCTTTGCAGCCCTGTGTACAATAGCAAAAACCTGGAACCAATCCAAATGCCCATCAATGATAGACTGGACAAAAAAAATGTGGTACATATACACCATGGAATACTACACAGCCATAAAAAACTATGAGTTTGTGTCCTTTTTAGGGATTTGGATGAATCTGGAAGCCATCATTCTCAGCAAACTGACCCAAGAACAGAAAACCAAACACCACATGTTCTCACTCATACGTGGTTGTTGAACAATGAGAACACGTAGACTCAGGGAGGGAAGCATCACACACTGGCGGCAGTTGTGCGGATAGGGGAGGGACAGTGGTGGGTGGGGAGGGTGGGAAGGGATAACATGGAGAGAAATGCTGGGTATACTATACACCTAAAGTAAAAAAAAACAAAAGAAAAGAAAAAAAGAAAATCCAATAGAGTGGTTCTGACACTGAATTTTTAAATGTTCAAATTAAATGTGAGCACAGTGTTGAATGCCCACATTTTACAGATGAGAAAACCTAAGGTCAGCAAGTATGAAGCCATTTCTTCCTGGACACCAGCTACAAGCAGATCTGACTCCATCAGCACTCTTCCTTTACACGTAGTTGACATCATTTTTTTTTAAAAAAGGCTTTATTTTTTCCCCATTAGCAAATGACACACAAGCTATTAGCAAATCAATGCAAAACCAGAAAATAAGTAGTAAATCCCATCTCCAGGACATAGATAATTTGGTGAGTAGCCTACAGACTTCCTTCTATGCCCCTCTTTCTATGCACAATTTTATACAAATAAGATCATATAGTCCCATAACCTGGCTTCATTTCTCAGAAACAGACTGATTGTAATATATTTTCTTGCACTCACCTAACTTTAATGCATTTTTTATTTTTCTTTTGTGTAAATTCTCATATACAGGGTTGTGGCATCACACAACATGCACATTTTAATTAATAGAACACTAAAATAATTGGTTCCCTAAACTCCCAGTGAATGCTTAATTTTGTCAAATTTTTGGCTAACTTTGTATATTAAAGAAGAAGCTTGGTGTTTTAAAATTTATCATAATTACTAATGAAGTTGAACATCTTTTTATACAATAATTTGCTTTTTGTATTTGGTGAATTTTCAGTTTACAGTTCTGTTCATTTTTCTATTTTATTGTTTTTTTCCAATTTGTGAGATCTTTTTTGTATGTTTATTGTCTTTCATGTGTTACTAGGAGTATTATTCAGTTTGTATTTTTCTCTTATTATAATTTCTTGCCATTCTGAAATTTTCATAATTAATATATTTTTATGTTTTAAAAATAATTTTTAAATTAATATTAAAAGACTGGCCATTACTGTCACATAAGGTTAAAGTATTTATCAATGTTTCCTTCTATTTTTATTTGTCTGGGCTTTGTTTTAGTATAAGTATGAAATTGAGTTCTAGATTTCCCTCCCAAATAATTCTTAAACTGAGTAATTCATTGAATTCACATTTAATCATACTTTATGATTAAAAAGTCAAGGTACACAATCTAACTCTCAAATAATGGATTGCTTAAGAGAATGCTGTAAACAATGACTTTTCTGGAAAATTGATTCTGAGGTCCACATGAACACTTTAAGGCAACAGTAACCAAGAATGAGACAAAGGTTGAAGAGTGTGGATGTGACCTTCCCCACCCCCTACTTCTTTTTAAATCATTGTGTAAACTTTGCACTTTGCTAAACTTTCCTTCCAAAGGTAATAGTGTATTTTCAATGTCCTGAAACCCCTTTAAAATGCAGAATTTCTCTATCAAGATGACCATTCTGGGTGAAGGGAGAGGCAGCATCTTTTTTTACTAATCTGTGAATAATTTTGTATTTTTTTTAGTAGAGAAGGGGTTTTTCCATGTTGGCCAGGCTAGTCTCGAACTCCTGACCTCAAGTGATCTGCCCGCCTAGGCCTCTCAAAGTGCTGGGATGACAGGTGTGAGCCACCGCACCTGCCCTTAATCTGTGAATAATTTTTAGTGAGCTGATATTCATCGAATGCCTACGTGTCGTCTTCATAAATAAGCTGAACCGTAGGTCTCACAAACACGTTACAGATGAAGACATTGACACTCGCGACTCAGTAACTTTTCTGAGGTTTCCCAGCTACCAGGCTACAGAGCCAAGGTTTAACTCGACAGTTTGACCCCAAAGCCAACGCTCTTTACAGTAGGGGAAGAAAAGAAGGTAAATAATTTAAATCAAATGACACAGCAACAGAAAGCCTGACAAGCCTCTCTAGAGATACAATTTGTTGTTTCTGGCCTGGTTCATAGCTGATAGAGGAAAAAAAAAAGTTTGAAGAAAGACCCCCATCATCAACTGCAAGGAGGATACCTGTTTTGCAGCCAAGACTCTGAGGACCCCTGCCTTCTTCAGCGTCTCCAGTGGTCCCAGCCAAACTTTCTGGAGCTTTTATATCTTCTTGCCTCAGGAATTAATAATCTTTACTTTAATCATAAAGCAATTATCTGAGAAAAATAATCCATTCATAAAAGCCTTATCTACAGTGAAAATAATGAATCATCTTAGAGACGGTTTGTGAATGTACGTAAGATGTGCTTTGACTAGCCAGGAGAAGAACCTCTCCCTGTGTGCAAACAGAATCTTTCCTTTACATCCTGTTAGTAAAACTGACAAGATCCTGTAATCTGTTATAAGCCCATCTTCCTCTCCCCTTATGTTATTTTTTCTTGGCTCTCTTTTTATCCCTTGGTATTGTGGATTTCCTTTATTTCTCTCTTATTTCTAGAAGGATTTTCGGTCAGGATCAGGCATAGGTTATGACCCATGCGGTGTGACTTGATGCCTACACACAGATTTTCCTTCCTAAAGCACTGACTCCTCTCACCCAGCATGCCTCAGTTTCCTCAGATATCTACTATTTGAGCTTTTCCTGTGAAACAAGGACGATCACGTCAAAATAGCTTATGTCAACAGAATGTGTTACAATAAAGTGTTTTCACTCAAGTAATCAAATAAGATGCTAACAAAAGCCTTGTGAGCAGCATAGGACAGACATCCCCGTTACATACCCAAGAAACCCAATGTTAAGAGAGATTAGAAGACTTCTGAGGTTCACAACGCTGGTCAACGGTGGAGGGCCTGGACGCTGAACCTAGGCCTTCTAACTCCGAATCTAACTGTTTGCTGAAATACTGTCTTACTGAAAAATACGCTATTCGAAAAGAGTAACAAGATTTTCTTTTCCCGTATAGATGGCAAAGGATTAGGCTGTAGGTGCCAGAGATGACTCTGCTTCAAACTGCAGATTAAAGACTAAAGGACCTTTACATCTGGAAATTTTGAGTCTGGGAGGGACCACGGTAGTTATCGAATCTTACCCTTTTGCTCTCTGGGTGAGGACACAGGCCTAGAGAAATATTGGGACTAGTTTAATGCACAGACAGTTGTGGGTGAAGCTGATAACAGAAGCCAGCTTCCTCGCTGCCAGCTAAGTGTTGCTCGAAACATGCTACTCAGCTTTTGTTGTTAGATTTTTTTCATCATATGCATAAATTCATGGTAGGGCATGAGAAAGTAATGCTTCCATGGTTTCTAAAGGACATTTTAAAGAATCCTCCCATTCTGATGATGCTCTGGGAGTACAGCACACGGCTTGGCCTCCTATGGCTGTTGGCTCAGGTCTGCATTCTGCCGCACACTCACTGTGCGGTACTGTGCATTCTACTGAGCCTTTTGGACCCTCAGATTAGATAGATCCCCTGTGTTCTTACCGGCCATCCTAACGCTCACGCTGCTACCTCCATGCCATTATATAAAGATTTAAAGTCTTTAGGATCCTCAGATGCCTAATCCGTACATGGAACGATGGTATTACTAGGTGGATTTATTTGCTGCACTACCTGTTTCACTCACAAACCTCTTTCTCTTTAGGCAGCTGGATGGGAATCATCATTGCTTCCTGGCAAAATGGCGTACAAAGATGTTAACTCCAAGCCTTTCAACTTCAGAAGCCCTGGTCCAGGTGTGAGACAGAAAAGTTTTGACAAAATGGGTGATTAGATAGGTGTCCTGTGTTTCTACCAGCCAAACCAATCCTAATTCTGCTACCTCCATGCCATTATATAGAGGTAAAGACTTGAGATGAGAGGGAAGAGAGTCGAACAGATCAGAAAACTAGTGTGCATAGGACTTTTACGAGGTCTCTCACTGAACCCTCACGTTGACTAGCTCCAAATGAAGGCATTGATAGGACGCACATAAACCGTTGAGATGTAAGAATATTAAGGACCAGAAAAATATCTGAATCAAAAAACGTCCACTGAATACTAAGTAAGTTAAGTATTGAAAAAGGTCTACATATAGACACACCATACATGAAATGTACTAGCGTTATTTACTTACTTATTTATTGTTTGATGGGTTTTTTGGGAATGAGTGGCATTTGCTTACATGAATAAGTTCTTTAGTGGTGATTTTTGAGATTTTGGGGCACCTATCAGCCAAGCAGTGTATACTATACCCCATGTGTAGTCTTTTCTCTCTCATCACCCCCAACCCTTTCCCCTAGTCCCCAAAGTCCAATGGATTGTTCTTCTGCCTTTGCATCCTGGGAGCTCCCACACATGCGTGAGAAGATACAATGTTTCATTTTCCATTCCTGAGTTACTTCAATTAGAGTAATAGTCGCCACTTCCATCCAGGTTGCTGTGAATTCCATTATTTTCATTCCTTTTAAGACTGAGTAGTGGGGAATACTAGCTTTAAACTGCAGAGGAAAACAACTTTCAACCTGGAATTCTGTGCCCAGCCAACCAACCATTAAGGGAGAGTGTGACATAAAGATATGTTAAAATTATAAGAATGTAGTCAGATTGTTATCCATAGACTCATTGAAATTACTTCTTAAGCATGTCCTTTGTCAAAAAGTAAAAGAATCCCAGAAGAGATGTATTACAATAGAGAAATAAGTGTTGACTGCATTAAATAATTATAATAATGTTTAAAATAAACTTAATAGTCATTTTGTTTTATTTTTAACACAAGTAGGAACAAAAAATACCAGACAATAACAACTGAGATTAGAGAAGAATGAAGTTAAAATATTCTAAGATCTGATCGTGATTAAATAGCGACTTCATTAGAAAATACTAATTTAAGTATATGCATTATCAGAGTACTTTTTTGGTAATGCAAACTTGATGTTGTTGCACTTATGGTGAAATATTACAGTTGAGCCCCTCTTTCACCAAGGCTTTCAGCATAGCAGGAAAATCCTTCTGAGTCTTTTTTTTTTTTTTTTTTTTAAGACGGAGTTTGGCTCTTGTTACTCAGGCTGGAGTGCAATGGCACAATCTCGGCTCACCGCAACCTCCGCCTCCTGAGTTCAGGCAATTCTCCTGCCTCAGCCTCCTGAGTAGCTGGGATTACAGGCATGCGCCACCATGCCTAGCTAATTTTTTGTATTTTTAGTAGAGACGGGGTTTCACCATGTTGACCAGGATGGTCTCGATCTCTTGACCTCGTGATCCACCCGCCTCGGCCTCCCAAAGTGCTGGGATTACAGGCGTGAGCCACTGCGCCTGGCCATCCTTCTGAGTCTTACACCCTCATGTTACTCTTGCCTCCAGCACTTAGACTCCATCCGCTCAAATCTGTGCTCCCTCAACACCACATGTTGGCACTTCCTGGAACAACCCCATTCGAGGTCACACCTCCATGCCTTTTTGCATGTCATCCTTCTGCTTGCAATGTCCTTTTTCTCGTTCCTTGTTTGGGCTTGTTTATTCTTCTTTTAATTAATTCAGTCAATAAATATTAAATGTGATTAAGTGCAAGGATCTGGGTATGTGGGCGTAGGTGTGGAAGGGAAGGGTTCAGGAGGTGAGAAAACGTTGAGGAACACCCATCCGGTTCCTGTCCGGCAGCATCTTACCACAATGACACCTCGGTTTGGTTTACGATGTTGCTTTGGAGACTTTTCCTTATTCTACTCTCTGATGGCAGAGATGTCTTCCACTGCGCTCACATACCCCGCTTTGCACTTAAAGTTTCTGTTTTCTGGTTACCTACTTGATACTTCACTAAGCTACTTCAGGTCAGGGATCATACTTCCTTCATCTCTCTCACCTTATGCTCAGCAATTTTTTTTTTTTTTTTTTTTTTTTTTTTTTTTTTTTTTTTTTTGAGACGGAGTTTCGCTCTTGTTACCCAGGCTGGAGTGCAATGGCGCGATCTCAGCTCACCGCAACCTCCACCTCCTGGGTTCAGGCAATTCTCCTGCCTCAGCCTACTGAATAGCTGGGATTACAGGCACACGCCGCCATGCCCAGCTAATTTTTTTGTATTTTTAGTAGAGACAGGGTTTCACCATGTTGACCAGGATGGTCTCGATCTCTTGACCTCGTGATCCACCCGCCCCGGCCTCTGAAAGTGCTGGGATTACAGGCGTGAGCCACCGCGCCCGGCCCAACCTGCCTCTTTTCTTCTTAGGTGTTTCCACCTAGAGGTTCTAGGGTACAAGCAACCTTACTCATATCTTTCTTTTCCCCTTCAGAGACAAACTCTTTTTTTTTTTTTAGATGAGTCTTGCTCTGTTGCTCAGGCTGGAGCGCAGTGGCACGATCTCGGCTCTATGTGGCCTCCATCTCCCAGGTTCAAGTGATTCTCCTGCCTCAGCCTTCCAAGTGACTGGGATTATAGGCACCCACCACCATACCTGGCTTTTTTTTTTTTTTTTTTTTTTTTTTAGTAGAGATGAGTTTTTACCATGTTGGCCAGGCAGGTCTGAAACTCCTGACCTCAGGTGATCCACCTGCCTCAGCTTCCAAAGCACTGGCATTACAGGTGTGAATCACTGCACTCAGCCCAGGAAAACTTCACTGAACATATTTTTGGAGAAGACTTTCGCTTCTTTGTCAGGGAGAATTGCTTTATTTTCTGTCTTGGAATAATTCATGCTCTAAGCCCACTTGAAACACTTAACCTTCATCTTTGTGGTGATTTAACCTGTCTTCCTAAAATACTCCAAATGGAGACCTGTACATTAGTATATCCCTAGAGGTAGATAGCACATTTCTCAAAAGTGGTATGTGATTAAACATGTTTAGATAAAAGTGAATGTTCTGATAAAAAATTAAAATGTGATCTCTCTCATAAGTCCGCAGATAATCAGTAAGCTCTTATCAGTTCTTAACATGCTGGTACAACTGTCTAATAGGATCTCCTAAGTTAATGGACGTGCCCTAATCTGTGACGTCAGTGAGGCAGTCACTACCCCACATATGGCTATCAAGCACTCAAAATGCATGACTAAGAATGGGGAGTTGAATTGTGAACTTTGTTTAATTCCAATTAGTTAAGCTTAAGTTTAAACAGCTGTGTGTGGCTAGTGGCTACCATACTGTACAGCAC